TAATAGTTGAAAAAAACTTACTTTTTCAATATTTTTGTCGAGAGCACAGGTGTTATCTGTCAGGTGGTAAAATGGCCGACTGTTATTTCTATTTTGTGACACTAGAGGCGCTGATAGCTGTTACCAAAGGCGAGTTATAAGTGGAGTACGAATTTGGCGTAAGTACGAATTAGGCAAGTTTACCCTAGTGGGCTGGCCAAATCTGTAACCGATAACCGATGGGAGAAGCGAGTTCTTGAGCGGAGATCACGGCTCAGCAAACGTAATGTAGGCTCTTTGGCCAGATGGAGTGACGATCTGCGAAAGGCTGCTGGGCAGCAGATAGATGCGATAAGCTGAAGATCGGTCGAAAAGGCGCGCATTGAGAGTGGCATAATGATGATGACACATTAGATAATACGTATATAGCTCGTTTATTACATCAAAAAGTTATAAATATAATACGAATTACACGAAACAAAATATGTGTGAAATTTTGTCTCTCCTGTTATAAGCACACACAACAGTTACAGTGCCACTCAGAGCTAATTAAATTATTTTGACTAAGAATAGGTTATTTGTTGCTATTAAGGACGTTTCTGTTTATCTTTAAGAATAAAGGTATATCTACATGCCTACAGCTTGCATCACGAATATCAATCAATAAGAGAAAATACACCGAAGCTATTTTCCCATAAGAATCAGAAATTTCAGAAATGAATCATTTCCTATCGTGACTGTAGAAGACACTCGGTATTTCCCCCGATAAGTTCCCCATAAGGATAATAATCAAGTCGGTAACATCATCACGAGCATATCCTCTTGGGAGCAGAAGAGTAATCTAGTTCCTTCAAAAGCCTTTGTCGGGACTTTACGGAGGTCCTTTGTGTAAGACAATTATCGTTCTGAAGGAATCCGGCGTAAAAACGTATTTTATGAGAACCGAATAAGTCGGAAAAAGTCCAAGAGGAGATTATGGCACGGTTTTAATTAAGACTTTACTAGATGTAATTTAATTGGCTGTGTAGTCTCATTAGCTTTTGTTAAAGAAAATCTACTTCTTTTTTATCTAAATTGATTCTAGAACGTTATTCTAGAATCAATTTAGCGATTAGAATAAATATCTCATATGACAATTAACATATTAATATGTTAGAAATTGCATTATATGTCCATAAGGGCGCATTATAAGTTTCCGGAACTGGCCACTTACATAAACAATATTTAAAAAGTAATTGCAACATTTGAAAATGGAACTCTTTGGCTGTAGATTACAGTTTGTTTCATCTGACTGTCACTTGTTTTTACATTGTGGCGTCATTTTACAAATTGGTTGTCTACATCACCATGGATTTAACTCGTGAAAATTTTCGTAGTATGAGTTTCTACGACTTTAAGTGTAATGTAACAGCTCAGCGGAGCTTCGCCCGGCTTCAAACTGCTTTTGGCGATGAAGCACCATGCTAGACGACTATTTATAGCTAGTTTACAGAATTCTAACGCGGTCGTGTGAATCTCAGTGACGAATTTCGTGATGGTCGCCCGTCCACCGCTGTGAACAACAAAAACATCGATATAGCATCGATGATCAAAACAGACATATTATTTAGGGGAATGCTAAAAAAAGGTTGAATTATTACAACAATCACTGTCACTGGCCACGCAATATACCAGAACGTTTATTTTGAGAAAAAAATCTAAATGTTATGGCATATATGACAAGTAATTCATGTGGACATTGTTGTCTTAAATAATTATCAATAATTACAGGTTTCTTACCACGATATGATTTATTATTATTTTCCCGATATTTCGGAATGGTTACACGCTCTATAACAAGTGGATTTTTCCACTCTTCCCTACCACACAGTCACTAGTTGCGATGAGTGAAAATGAAATTCCTCTTAGTGATAATCATTTAGTGAATAACCACGAAAGCTAAAATATAGCTTAAAATCTATATTGTTTCGAGTTCTTAGGTTTTCGCGATTGTTACACATAGGAAATGAAACTATTTTTCCGGATTTCCGGACAAACCGACGTTTCGGACCCTTTACAGGTCCCATGGTCACGGTTGACGGTTGACCAGGGGACCTGTAAAGGGCCCGAAACGTCGGTTTGTTTGAAAAAACAAATTATACGCGATTTAAACCCGGAAAAATAGTTTCATTTCCTATCTATATTGTTGTCATAATTCTTAGCTCGAGTTGTAAATACTCGGTAAAGCTCCTTAAATTTAGAATAAAAAAGAAAAGAAGCTCGAGACACGGATGTCTTCGAAATCCAGATTGAGGGCACTCCGTTTTGTTGAAAAGAGACCCATCTGTGTTTTAACGGCATTAAAGCTGACCCTGTTCGCGTCTCCACAGTCGAAAGTCGCTTTTACGGTCAGGTTCAACCGTGTGACCATCACCTCTCGTACTCACCATTGTGCTGTCGTCTGTACACCCAAGGATACCGAGCATCAGCAGCAGGTCATTGATATGCAGCAAGAATAGGCAGAGAGAACAGATTTTGGAGGTACGAAAGCATTAATACCATGAAGAGCAGACGAGTTGCCATTTACAACTAAAGGTATCTAACCCTCAGAAAATCTACTATCCATGCACAAAAGCCAACAGGAATTCCGTAAGCTCAAAACTTGAAAAACAGGATATCATGTCAACTCTGGAAATTTATGGTAGGGGTGCTGGGCTTCTTTTTTCCAAATCTATGGTTTCAAATAAATGAATATTAAATATCACTTAGCGTAATTGCTACTCGGAAAACTTCCATAATTAAGGCTGTCCATTTAATATTTCCAACTTCAATTTTCTGTAATAAATTCCAAACAATGTTTTCGGAGACCCCCTTTAAAACGAACAAACTTTGCCGATTTAAAACGTACTTCAGGACTATAGAAAATCAGTTCAGAGAGCCGCGATTACGTAAAATGAGGAAATATTAAAAATATTTTAACAGCTTTTCAGGCTCAAAGGCGCACCATAACAAATTTAAAAACCAGTCAAGAGCGTTCCAGCATTGATTTATTTTTATTTTTGGATCGCTTCATGAGCCTTCACGTCATACTTTACAACAAAAAACGTACGTAGTAAACCTATCTGCACAGATATCATGATAAAACTATTCCCGGTTTCTTGTTTACTATGACTGCATAATTTCGTCAATAATTTCATAGTATTGTTAGTTTCAATATTTGAAAATACTAAAGGTCTAAACCGTCGTTTAAAATTAAGCAAATTAAATAAAATTGAACATCGTCCATAATTTCATTGGTAGTAAAATTTGTCAACACTAAGTAATTTGTTTTACTAATCATATTTTAAGAAATTATGACCATACTTGATTTTTAATTCGAAGATTTCTGGTTTTTTGTGTTTGAACTCAAAACCTACGTTTGTTTTGTACCTAAAGATTTATTTACATACGGACGAAGTGACTGTCAAAAGTCGGTACATTGTATAATGTATTTTACGTAATGGATGAGTGAGGAAACTGCGGGGGATGCAAGGGAAACTGGGGGGAGGGAAGTCCACCGCTGACACAGCCACTCGGCCGCCATGTTGGAGTATCTTCAAACCTTTTTTCTTTTGTGACAGACGTCAGCTCTAAACGAAAAGGGAAGCATATTAAAATGCGTTTGAATGACCCAAAAAAGTATTTTGGTAGCAAATGAGCATTCTTCGTGTAGTTGACATATAATAGGTTCGGCAACGACATATTTTAATTATGCGCATATTTAATTTATTGTTAGTTTTTACTATTGCTACATATTAATTTAAATTAAAAATGTTTTAATGCAACCTTGTATAAACATATCAAACATAATAATAATACAGATTTTATCTATTACATAACAAATGTAATGCAAATAAGGTTTTAAAACTCCCTCTAAATAGCGTCATAATTTAAGTGCACAATTTTTTAAACTATTATTTATCCACATTCAGTAATAGAAAAATATCATAAAAATATCATAATAACACATATTTTTATTTAACTCCGTTCAAAACTAAGCACTAACAAAGTCTATAGAGAAAAAGAAAAAATAGTTGGGATCACAACTGCAGTCTTCTAGAACGGCGTGCAACATAGTATATATTATGTACTATATACTGCACGCCGTATATATAATAAGACAAGTGATGTCACTTCATATAAACGTAACGCGCCGCTTATATATATATCGACCGTGGAAATTTGAAATGTCGTAAGGAATATTTTGTCGTAATGGAAAATATTTCTTACTACGAAATGTCGCTTACGATTTTTCAAAATCCTATACATTGACGAAATTACTTTTACCATTATATCGACAGTGGAAATTTGAAATGTCCCAAGAGACATTTTGTCGGAAGGTCAATTTCTCCGACAACAAAATGTCCCTTACGACATTTAAAATTTCCACCATCGATATGTGCACGCCCTCGCCGCGCGCTGTGTGCCGACACATCCGTATAATTTCACACGACACTCGCGTTGCACGGCGCTGGTCGTCGCACTTACAGAATATGTTTAACATAATTTTCTGAGTCAAATCAAAATATTATATTTAAATTATAAATGTATTGCTAAGTATATACAAACTCGCAGTACATTTCTATTTCATGATACTGCTCCCGTAATTGCGATACTTGCTTGACAAAAGCGATGCTTGTATAAAAATATCAATGTCTATGTACAGCATTTGACAAAGATTATTACAATAGAACACGACAATACTGTGAAGAATACCTTAATTTTATCAAATTATGTTTTGTAATTTGTATGTACGACTAAAATTAATAATAACGTGACAACCCTATGCTCCGAGTGGCGTGTAGGCATTGACGCGTCGAACAGGCGGAAGTTGGATTACTTGACATATTTATGGTGCAGTCAACGTGTTGTGGGCGTGCAGTCGCGCCCACCGCATTCAAATTGCTTTCAGACGGCATTCCGTTTGCTATTTTGCAGATGCGTCACAGTCATAATGCAGTAAGTATCTCTATACTCTAACTACAAAATTAGGTCAAACTTACGTGAACAAGACTTTGGTTCGTCGCTCTTATCTCCACAGTCGTCTTCTCCATTACAATACTTGTCCAAAGATATGCACTGTCCAGTGTCACACAATAACTCACTCAATCTGCAAGGACTTGCTACGTTTCTCGCCACTTTCTTCACTACCATAGTCTGTATTTCACTTATATCATCATTACTAAACTCCTCATTCAAGTCTTGAGGACTACACAGTTTTAGCGACAGCAGCACTATGAACAATAGAGTTCTATTTACATTTTGGTAAGAATACATTTTCGTCCCGTTCTCTCGATGTCGACGTCACAACATTTTGTCTGTACCTGTAACAATGAAGGGGCGAAATTACTTTTCTGAAATAAGTATGCACGGGATAAGATCCCCTTTTAATTACGAATTAATGCTTTTGTTACAAAAGGTTCAAAACGAGAATTTTAGATTAGCTCATTGAGGTAAGAGTGCAAAGAAAAGCTGTATTACGAATTTTGAATGAATGTATATATGTAAATGAAACGAGTTTTTTTTTCGTTTTTAGCTGGAGATAATATAAATTAAACCCTATTGTAAGTTCATCTTCAAATTACATACTTGTAGAAGCACTGCAGTAGCGTTTCTGTGGCGTAGGCAGTTACGCCGCTACTAATTTTCATACAATATCTGCGATAAGTCTGCGAAAGTGGCGCGCTCGTGACGCTTCAGCTGCGCTTCTAAATATTGTACGAAAATTAGTAGTGGCGCGGCTGCTGCGCTTCTAAAAGTATCTAATTTGAAGGCGTCCTCAGAATCATAAGTTTTATCTGCTCCGGAGAAGTCCAGAGGGCCTACCACAACCCTTTAAAGCAATATTACTTTAACCTTAAATTGACTTTTCGTACCATAACACGCTTAAAGTAAGCTTATTGCAATGTTAAAACTATGATGTTTAATTGGCAGCTTTGTGACTATTCATTCACTCAGTTCGTGCTATGACGCGACTTTAACATTAAAATAATATTCCTCTTGTCAAATTTAGACCCGAGGGATAGGGAGTTCAGGCGAGACTACGGACTGCCCGGTAAGACCAGTGCTACGCTTTCACGGGCGTCTCAGGTGGACCCGGACTTGAGTATTAACTAGCTGGGGTTTATGGTTAGTTGTAGTGATGGACGCGTTCATCTACTCCGGTAGCATGTGACCGGAGCGTTCATTGCGACCGATATCTCCGGCACTTGCCCGGAGAGCTAGTAGAGGATGAGTTTGATGTCCTCCGGTCCCACCAGCCGCTTAGGTTACTGGGAACTGAACAAACGCTTCGGCTTTGGAATGTGAGCGTGCCTACAGCTTCACCACCCAAGAAGAAATTTGGTAGTGGACTTTAGAATCAACGGCTTAGCGGTGACAACCATTAGTTGTGCAATACATCTCCGGTACCTATCTGCAAAATGGAAAGGGCATTGTACCTGCACCCGGAGCAGCTCACCCAAGGTACTAGCCTTTTGAGAACCGGACGAAGTCTGTACAAACGGGCTGATCTGGGGTCAGGACATGATTGTGCAGGCTCACTTGCACAGGTTAAAGTGCCCTTTATAAACAAAACTTATATGGAAATATATGGGACTAGTCTGGAAAAGCTTTCCGAACTACACAGTTATCTCTCTGTCTTATTAATTGGATCGGTAAAGGTTGTCAAGTTACTGTAGTAGCTCATGACTTTGCAATGTTATTAGTCGTTACGGAAAGCGTCAAATATTTGACAATTATTTAAGGCAAAATTTACAACGTCCCTAGCGATCATAAGTTCTAAAATTTCTTAAACAAATATTGTACGCGGTTGCTAGCGACAGTTGACATTGTAAGTTCATGGTACAGGCCCCTGAGAGTTCGGCGCAATAGAATTGAACTTTTGAAATCTGACATGTTTTCTGTATAAGAAATTTCTTTAAAAGTTCGCGACATGGCGTAACTTAGAAGCCTTTATATTTTAGACGTAATGTTATACATATTTTTTCATAGTGATATATATGTAATTATGTATATATCTACACACTTTTACAAGCATACATATTATTATCATTCATTGCAACATTCACCCTATACATAGGTTGATATTTAAATTGACAGCAATCCATTAATGGAAGAAAAAAAAGAATCGGAAAAAATAGTATTTCCTTTAATAGATTGCTTCATTATTTATTTGACTTTCTAATTAAATTTTGAATATTTAGTCTACTAACATGTTTTGTTTGTGATCAAAGAACCTCTTTGAAGATCAATTACTTGAGAACTTGTGAATATACTAAACAGTGATCGGTATATATTTCAAGTAATAATAATAATAATTCATTTATTCGCTTCAAAAATAAAAGTAAAAATTAAATCAGAACTTAAACCTATTCGGCCTTCTAAAATAAAAGCATGCAAATACAATAATAAAATAAATACATTGGTGGATTGAGATTCGATTTTAAAACAATAATTAGGCAACAAATTGATAAATTTAAGATAATTGATTTAATTTGATATGTCAGAATCGTGTATGTCATAATTTAATAATAATAATAGTATTTTTTTTAAAGATGGGAAAAATGTATGCATCAATTAATTATTCTTTATGATTCATGAATTCGTCAATAGAGTAAAACAAATGATCAAAGAGCCACATGCGCAATTCCTTTTTAAAATTAGTCAATGGTAGAGGCTTAATGCGATCTGGTATACGATTAAAAATGTTTCCACACATTACATACGAGTTATTTAGAAAACGATTTGTTTTGGGTATTGTATTTAGTACGACTTTATTGGGCTTCCTTAGGCTTCTGTATGTTACGTCCTTCGCTATTAAGAATTTCGATAGATTTCGTTTCACGAATATACCAACTTCGAAAATGTACAGGCACGGGAGGGGCAATACTCTTAGTGTTTTAAAGTGAGGACGACATGAGACATACGAGTACAGTGCTACATTGCTTGTGGCACGTATACATCGCTTTTGAGCAATAAAAACCTTCGCAAAATCTGTTCCGTTGCCCCAAATTACGATACCGTATCTGAGTACAGACTCAACACACGCAAAATAGGCAGTCCTGGCTGTGCATTTATTCGCTACTTTTGACAATTAGTAAAGAGCAAACGCAACCTATTTATTTTAGCACATACTTTGTCCGTTTGATCCCTCCAATTCATCTTTTGGTCTATAATTAATCCTAGAAATGTCACATTGGTTTCGTTTCGCAAGATTTGTCCTTTGTAATCCATGTCAATTGTCTGTGTTCGTAAGTTATTAAAATTCATTATATTAGTTTTAGTTAAACTAATTTGAAGATTGTGTTTTTGTAGGTAGTCAATTAGTGATGTCATTGTTTTTTTCAATTCGTTTTTATGATATTCTAATGTTGAATTTATTGGAGAAGTGACAACCACTGAAATATCATCTGGGAAAAGAATTATTTCGTGTTCCGTGCTATCACATACGTCATTAATATATAATAGGAATAGCAGGGGACCAAGTATACTCCCTTGAGGAACTCTGTAATTATTACTTTTAAAGTGAGATTTATTATATTTCGGTACAATTTTTTGTGTTTAGTTGGGTTATTTGTACGCATTGTGACCTATTTGTAAGGTAGGATTTTAACCAACTTAGTGCTGGACCTCGAACTCCGTTATGCTCTAATTTCGTCAAAAATAAGTCGTGTGAAACGAAATCAAAAGCCCTAGACATGCCCAAAAATAGTCCCGTTGTGTACAACTTTCTATTTATATTTTGTAAAATCTCGTTAACTATGTGAAACGCTGCGTGTGCTGTGGATTTGTTTTTTTGAAACCCATGTTGATTCTCGTGTATAATTTTAAATCGATTATAGTATGATAAAAGCTTGTGGTACATGACTTTTTCAAATATTTTTGATAATACTGGAATCAAAGTGTTAGGTCTATAGTTAGTAATATCTGTAGTGTCTCCTTTTTTGTGTAATGGTTTTACGATTGAGAGTTTTAATTTCTCTGGAAAACGTCCAGTTTCTAAGGAGAGATTTACTAAAAAGGCAAGTACTCCGCCTATCTGATTCTACATGTCATATCTTACATGCTTTAATAACTTTAGTACATATAGAGTCATAACCTTCAGATGGAGTATTATTCAGTGACAAAATTAATTTTTTAATGTCATTTTCGTCTACAGGAGTTAGAAAGATAGAATTTAAGTTTTTTTGTTAGGTATCGTATTTTGTATGTCATTATTTAATTCGGTAATTGATTCTATGAAATAATTATTTATTTTGGTTGCAATTTTTATTGGTTCCATTATTTCAGTGTCTTTGTCTTTAATTTTTTGTATATAATTTTTAACGTAGCTACTACTAGTTTCATTCTTAATTATTGTCCATGTAACTTTGCAAATATTCTTGCTATTTACAACGAATTTTTTCTTCGCCATTTTCTTAGAATAATGAATACACCTTTTGAGTAATTTCTTGTAAGTCTGATAGATATGTTGACCGTTGTTTGTTTTGTGTGTGTAATAGTTAAAACGGAGTTTTCTATTTGTAGCACAGTTTTTTTTGAGGCCTCTTGTTAACCACGGTGATTTTAATGTTGATATCTATTTAACTTTTACTAATGGAAAGCAGAGTTTGTATAAGAGACAAAATAATTCGTAGAACTCGTCAAAGGCTTTGTTCAAGATTTGGTGTTTGTATATGTCCGAAAATGAGAGATTGCCTATGTGACCTACAAACCTTAACATGTCTTCTGTAGAATAACATCATTTATAGGTAAATATAATTTTTGGAAATATAGACTTTTTGTTAACTTGGAATTGTAGGACCTGTGCTGTGTTATGATCGGATAGTCATAGTTCTGAAACCGAACCTATCGCATCGGTGATATTACTGATTATAAGATCTAGACATGATTTTCCTCTAGTAGGCTCAGTAATATGTAGGATTAGATTGTAGTTTTTTAAAATGTCGAACAATCTTTTAGTGTGTGTAATGCATATAGAGTGAATAATACCCCCTCGGAAATTGGAAAAATTCAAAAGAAAATAATTAATTTTAACTTACAATCACAACACTACTATTCCATACACTAATTTCTTTTCTACTTTATCTTTCGAAATTGGTTACGGTTTGGATGTCCTGGGAAGTGCCCCAGAGTGAATTCCGTTGCTCTGGTACTCATAATCTGGTAATCAGGGAATTTCCTAGTTGAGTTGACTCCTAGCCCGAGACCAGGCGTTGGAGTAGTTGCCTGGTACATTATTAATTGCTAGTTGACACATCAATAAAAAAACCGACCTCAAAAGTCATTCATCCCCTAGTTTGCCACCCTTAGAGAACTACTT